GATAAAGTTACACCATTAGACTAGTCAGTCAGCGCTGACTAGACAAATGGTGTAACTTTATCTTACAACCAACAATTTCTGTCCATCAGGTAACTCCAAGCGTTCGCCTTGTGCCAATATTCTCTTTATTTCATCAAAATCCGCACCTATTGGTAGATCATCCTTCGAAACTTCAGACATCACTGTTCCCTTATGTAAAAACGTTATCGCCGTTTTATCAGTGACATCCTTTCCCTGAGCTTCAGCCCAATCTGCAGCCTTCTTTTTGGAGAGATTTTCTCCAAAGTTTCTTGCTTTTTGACTGTCCCACTCTTCATATGGCATCATGTCATCGTTAGGTTCGGGTATTGCTTCCATGTCTTCTCTACTCCCTCCCTCCGAAAATAAAACCCGGGGTTCAGCCTCCGCGAGCCCACCCAAGCTTGACACATATGGTTCACCAGTATGTACATTTGCAGGCAACTCACCGCTTGCATCCAAGAAGTACACATTGACGTCTTCTGGATCAGTCAATCGAAGTGCAGGACTGGAGTCTTGCGATGTTGCAGGCAGCGGTAATCTGGACATCATCCGCATTGCCATTCTTTTTGCCAGGCCTGTATTGTAACGTGTACGTATTTGCAGACAGAAAATCAAGCCATCGTTGTACACGACTAACCTTAGAGGACAAACTCTCCAGGTTTAACAATGAATGGCTGATGATCGGTGACCACCTCGCAAGGTATACCATAGAAATATTGACGGTTCTTTTCTATCGCCCAGACCAAAGCACCACATTCAAATTCCGTTGGTGTCCACTGCTTCTCGTTAGGAAGAGTAGATCTACTGTTCTCAAGAAACACAAAGGTCTGGTCGTGCCATCAGGTTGGTCCTGTTCTATTACTGCACCCAATCCATCCTGGGACGCATCCGTGATAACACGAAATTTTCTGACCCCCGATATCGCATCTCGATAGGCTAACACGTTCGGGCTAGACAGTTTATCCATCAACCGTTGTACGATTTCCACATGTTCCGTGCCAAAAACAAACTTGGTACCCTTCTTCAAGAGATTGTTTAACGGACGCGTTTGAGCTGCCATATTTGGAAGGAAACTTCGATAATAGTAGCTCAGCCCAACCAAGAGTGACCTTAGCTGGCTAACGTTCGTTGGCATAGGAATTCGTTGCAAACTAGCCACTTTAGCTGGGTCCGGTTTTAGACCCTTCACAGTGACTTCGTGTCCTAGAAACTTGACGACCTTAACACCCAGGCAAGTTTTCTTAGGTGCGAGATTAAGGTTACATCGCTTTACCCGCTCGAAAAAATGTGTCATGTCAACAACATGTTCTTTCCCGCCCTTTGAGAAAATAACAATATCGTCGATGAACAGCATACATCGTTCAAGCCCTTCGCACACACGCGACATAATGCCTTGGAACCATCCTGGGGAACTAGCCAATCCCATGGGACACCGAGTCCACTCGTAGTTACCGAAAGTTGTGCAAACAGCTGTAATCGGAATACTGTCAGGGTGAATTGCACACTGGAAAAA